AGGTGTCATGCTTCACAATAGTACAGTACATACATCACACTACTGAAGGCTGCCATACTAAACACTTGTCACTTAGTCAGGAAATTCTACACAAACACAGATATATATACACAAATAGCACATAAACAAAATAATTGTTTTTGTAATAATGCCTTGACTTCGGTCCACTATAGCACTAGGCATTGTTTGTGCCATAAAGGACACACACTACCAACACCATAATAATAATATCTTCTATGTAAATATTGCAGCTTCTGAACAATTAAAATTTTTAATCTCAGTTTTTAATTGAGACCCTTAAAACTTAATAGCAAATTGCACAATATATTTTCTAGCAATAACAATTGTTTATTACACAAAATAAAATAGTAAATAAAATTAGAAACTATTTATTCTGAATTTTAGTCTGAGGTATTTAAAAATTATTCCTTTTATTTTCCTGGTTGTTATATATACATAACAAAAGAAAGTATTGGAATTGTGTCAAATTTGACTCTCCAAGTTTTATGCAAATCTTCACATTTTGAGACCTTCTAACTCCAAAAAGTAAATAGGAAAAATAAAATTCTGTGGATGTGTGTGCTGTGTATCCATGCTTGGCTTAGTGACATGTTATTAACAGTTAAAAGTTGAAAAATTACCTTCATCTCTGGGAGTTAAACTGTTTGGTTTTCCTGATCTTATGTTTTTGTCACAATTCTCTTCTGAGCTGAAACATTTCTTATGGCATATGAAGAGCAATTAATAGCAGCTGAAATTTGCCTCAAAGATTTACCAGAGCCATGCAACAAGTAAATTTCATGAATCTGTCTCTGACAATGTTGTTTCAAGAGGCATTGTCAAAAACTTTATTAAGATTGTTAAAAACCATTAATTATGATTTAAAAGAATCGCTAACAAACTCTAATGGTGGATATTTAAACCAAATCTTAATAATAATTGTTTAAAGTAGAAATAGGTTGAGTGTGTTTATATTTTTGCAACAACAAAAAAAAAGTGAATTTATTATTATTCATATTTTTGTTTTATTTTTATAAAAATGAATAAATATACTATTAAGATCATAAGCTAATAGATTTTATATACAAAATATCAAACTTTCTAATTTTAATCTACAAATTTACAGAAAAGTGGGTGTGTTTATAACTTTGCAACAGACTGAATCTCTAGTAGGGTCAGACTTAATAACAATTTTACTCATTATAAACATTTATACTTTTTTAAAAAAACTCAACCTTACCCTCAAAATTAGCTTTTTGCCATTTTATGGTAATTAAAAATATAAAAAGTTTTTTATAACAAAATCTCATAACAGATGGCACACAATTTTATTAAGTTATATTGTAAATAAAATTATAAAAATTATTTTCTAAGTAAGATCTCATAATAGCCAGGAAAGTTAGGCAACTCGTTGCTGGATTTTTTTCTCCATTTAGTCAGAGACAGTTTATTGAGAAAAATCAGTTGACTCAAATTAGAGGCACTGAAAAATCATCTTATCAAACATATAATATATATGGCCAGCAAACTAAAAAAAATCTGTTGTCTCTTGTATAATGCAATTAATCAAACTGCATATTTCATAAACTAAATAAATTATTAATTATTATTACAAGATGTGATCTAATTAGACTATATTTAGACCAAATTATATAGTTATTTAACCAGAAAGTATCTCAACAAATGCAACAATTAGGTATTCAAATTATTAATAATACATTAGGCTTGCTGATTACTTATGTATACATACAGATGAGCCTGAAAAAATTGAATTTGATATTCAAATTGCTTTTACACATTTTTAAATTTCAGTCTAAGATTGAGCAGGGTGCTCAATGCAAAGTTCAAATTTAAAATGCACCATGCAAGAGATTGTTTAGTTTGCTAGCCATATGTCCAATAACTGAGGATGGTTATATCACAATTAAATACATCTGGAAGAGGAGATTAGAGTAGAGGCTCGAGTAGCATAATTTGGCAGTGCATCCGCATGGTTAGTGGGAGTTGCGGTTTGAGTCCTGTTTTATGCCAATTCTTTCATAATATATCAAAAGCTTTCACAAAAACACAGAGTACTACATACCCAGAAACCATATTACAAATACACACATCATAGAAAATATCATACAAAATATACTACGGCCAAGATATAACCATAGGCAAAATAATGCATCACAACAGACCAGACAACATATTCATTGACAAACAAAGCAAAATTACTTATATCATAGACATAGCTGTACCAAATACCCACAATATTCAAAATACATATACTGAAAAAATTNCAATTAAGAGATTTTGGAATACTATCTTATTCCCTTAAAAGAAAATCTGTATAGTGATGATGATTTTCTTTTTCAACAAGATCTGGCTCCAGCTTATACATCATAGTCAAACTGGCTTTTGGAACATGGAATTAATGTTTTGGTTAGCCAGGAAACTCATCTGACTTTATTCTATTGAAAATTTGTTAAACATTATGAAAAAGAAGACATAAAATTTGTGATCTTATACTCTAGCTGATTTAAAGCAAACTATATTACAAGTTTGGAATAGAATAACTGTAGAGCAATATTGCAAATTGAATCAATGCTTTGTCAAATAAAAGCAGTTAAGGCTAAGAGAGAGCCTACACTATATTAACAAATTTTAATTAAAATATTAATGTTTACTTTTTAAAAATAATAATAATTATTAAATATATTATTTTTAAAAAGTAGTAATATTTTAACTAAAATTTGTTAATATAGTGTAGGCTCTCTCTTAGCCTTAACTGCTTTTATTTGACAAAGCATTGATTCAATTTGCAATATTGCTCTACAGTTATTCTATTCCAAACTTGTAATATAGTTTGCTTTAAATCAGCTAGAGTATAAGATCACAAATTTTATGTCTTCTTTTTCATAATGTTTAACAAATTTTCAATAGAATAAAGTCAGATGAGTTTCCTGGCTAACCAAAACATTAATTCCATGTTCCAAAAGCCAGTTTGACTATGATGTATAAGCTGGAGCCAGATCTTGTTGAAAAAGAAAATCATCATCACTATACAGATTTTCTTTTAAGGGAATAAGATAGTATTCCAAAATCTCTTAATTGATTTCTGAGTTCTTAATTGTATTTAAAAAACAGAGATAGTTAACACCATCTCTCTCGCTGCACCAAAGTAGTCCGATATTATGACATGTGATTAACTGTAGTAAACTGGAACCACTAATTTCTTCAATATAAAGAATTTTGATTAATCTGAAAATAAAACACATTTTCAGTCTTTATAGGTGTATTGATCTCTTCCTTTAGCCACTGTAATAATTTCTTTCATTGAATTCCAGTTAACAATTTTTTTTTGTATACACAACTGAAATTCCATTTCTTTTAACATTTATCACAATGTACAGTACATCTAGATGCTATGCTGCCACTTTTATTCCATAATTTACTTAATTCACAAACAGTTTTGAAACAATTTTTAATAGCAAAACCTCCTAAGACTATCTTTACATTGTACTGTTTTTCATTTCTGTCTACAATTACTTAGTTTACTTTCCAATTCGCCATTCTTACACCACTTTAATATTTATGAAACTGCACTTTGATCATTAACATTTTTGCTATTTGTAGTTGTGTTTCACTATCATTTCTCATTCAATTACACACTGTTTGATATCATTGACAAATCTCATTTTGGTAACATTCAAATACAGTAGATTAAAAATAACAATTAAAATACATTCAATTAAAGTTATGTTTTTTTTAAACTAAAAAGATTTAAATAAAGTAGGTCTTCTATTTTAGATTGAAATATTAAATTTACTCTAGTTAAACAAAAGCTTTTTTCTATGATAAAATGCATTCTAATCATACTCGTATTTTTCATCATAAACTTCAAGATGCTTTAAATCTTAATTTAAAAATTTTTGTAATTGTTTTTTTATTTCTGGTACACATTTTGTATGTATAATGTTGCATAAACATTCTTAAAATTAAATTTACTAACTTTATAGTATAATTTTGACAAAGATTTTGACAAAACATATAACACAAAGATTTATTTTTATTATTTGATATAACACAAAGATTTATTATTATTATTTGATATAACACAAAGATTTTGACTTTTCAAAAAAAAAAGAGAAAAAATACATTTTGTTCAAATTAAAAAATTATTACAATGTCCATTCTAATTTAACATCTTTTTTATTTATAAATAATAATATTGGTAGATATTGTTTTATCAATCAGTTGTAATTATCAAATACAGTGGTGCCTTGACTTAAGAGTTTAATTTGTTCTGTGATGGACCTCATAATTCAAATTATTTGTATGTCAAATCAATTTTCTCCATTGAAATGAATTAAAATGAATTGAAATGCCATTAATCCATTCTGGATCCCAAAATACAGCAATTTTTTCATTACATGTTTTTAAATAAGAAAAATGTACTTATAAATAATGAATATTGTATAAAAACACAATAGAATGTACTGCAATAAACAGATTTGCGAATGTTGCGGCATTTGCTGCATAGATAAAGAAAAGATGGAAAATTCGAGAAATGAAAGATGATGGCGCTGCACACAACATAGAAGTGAACTAATGCCTACGACACTTGATCATATGTTTTTCTATAAGCTAGCCTGTCACACAAGGAAGAGTAATGAAAATGATGAAATTATGATAATTTTCCATCTTCTTTTTCTTAATCTATGGTTTGCTTTGCCAACTAGCGGTGGAGTATCTGAAGCTGGCTTGTAACCCAAATTTTAGCTCTCAACTCAAAGCAAAAAATTGGCCAAGAGAAAACTCCTATCTCAAAAAAGTTGTAAGTTGAGACACTTGTAAGTCAAGGTACCACTGTACACTTCAATTAAATTTTAAAATGTATCTACAGTTTGAATTATTTAAAAATTTGAATTTTGCTTGCTTAAAATAAATGATTTTCATTTAGTTTTTCACTAATCTAATAAAGTTACATTATTTCCACTAAATTTATTATTTACCTGAACCATCATGATTTATATCTACACAAACTATGCCTAAAGCATGACCTTCAAAAGTGTGTCTTAATTCCAAAGTATCTTCATTCCTGTAACAAACAACACATTTTTAAAACAATTTCATAACAAATCAAATTATTAAAATTATCTAATGTCAACAACTAATTTAATGTATTAAACAATTTATTAAGATGATAAATTCAATAAAATAAAGTATAACTAAAACATGAAGATTTAGAATCAAGTATTTAATATTTAAAATTAATTAATTTTAATATAAAATATTTACTTATAATTCATCAATAAAAAATTCAATAAACAACATAAGTTAAACTGAAAATTATGAATTTTCAGATACATAATGTAAATTTAAACATTTTGAATATAGTAATATAAAATAAAATCTTGAAAAACACTTAAAGATATTAGTAATTATTAAAAACCAGTTATCAATTTAAAATATTTTATTTGATAATTGGTAAAAGAAACTATACAAAATTCAATTTATCTATCCAGTTTGAATTTTTATTATTTACAACCTAAACATATAATCCAAGCACGAAAGAAAGTTATTCACACTATATTAGAACTAGCTAATATAATTTATTTGTCTTTCATTTAGATCAGGGTTTCTTAAACATTTTCCATTTGCAACCCCTTTTTGTCCAAGAACATTTTGTGTGACCCTGGGTATACATACATAGGTACTGTACATAAAATATACGAATAAAACATTAACTGATAATAAATAAAAAAATTTAATTTCAAACAATTTGTTGTTATACTTATAATTTTGCCACCTATTATCATTTATTAGGACAAAAGCAAATTTGCATACTAATGAGATGGATGTACAGTACTTGTTTATTTTTGCAAAGAGTTAGTCTTGACTGAATATTTAATACTGCAGGATGTAGGGCATCTTCAAAGCTTTTCAAAGTTAATTGATATTTTGATTTTACAATTGTCAATGAGGAAAATAAAAAAAAGGTGTATCAAATATAGCAAGAAGCAAAATGAATAGAGAGTATAATAATGAGAATTTAAATAATACTCTTCTGTCCATTTCAACACACAATAATAGGATGGAAACTATGAATTTTCTCCCAAAATTTTTTTAAAAATCTTTTCACCTGTAATCACTAAGAGAGACTTTTTTTTTTTATCAAGCCTATTATAGGTTCAGCCAGACCCACAGTTGTATGACAGGGTGATGAGTGACAGAGCCAAACATATCTAGACAGAATATCACCAAAAAAGTCCAGATTTTTGAACCTGTCTGAACTCAATCCTGTGTGGTAGGCTGCCACTTGGCAATTCAGCCATCTTATCTCACAAATTGGAAGAATCAATTTTAAATTAATAATAATAAATAAATTAATATTTAAATTATTTATAACTATTAATTTTATCAAAAGACAGCATATAATCTGTCTTCTGATAAAATTATAAAATTCTGATAATTAGTCTGATATAATCTAGCAGATAGTTTTGCTCCGGTTATTTTCACAAATTAAATATTATTTAACAAATATTTCGATGATTTGTGGTAGAATATCTCAAGCAAAGTGCATTGTCTTCAAAATAAAATAATTGGCAAAACTGTTAATATATTTTTTTATTCTTTTTGAGATTATACATTTGTTTTAAGATACACCTAAATAATAAATTTAATATAAGGTGCATTTCAAATTTATACGGACACGAAAAAATTAAGATGAAATCCAAATTTGCTGCATTAAGTGACAAATGTTTTATTAAAAATAACACAGATTTACATGTTTCCACACTGCAAAATAAGAATTTTAATCAAACATTAACATTGTGTCACTGAAAATAATATTTTAAAAAATTTTGTACAAAAAACTGTTACATATTTATCCAGACAAGCACTCATTTCATGACTTAAATAGAATATTGTTTAGTTTCAAGCATTGAAATATGCAAATTAGCTTACATATCTAATTGTAATACAAATTCTTTATGTTGTTCAAAGTTCTAAAATGGGTAGAACAAAGAATTTATCTGATTATGAAAAAGGGCAGATTGATGCCTATAAATCACAAGGCAAGTCAATAAGAGAAATTGCAGCATATATAAATCATCCAAAATCAACTGTTGGTGATTATTTATGAAAAAGACATGGCTAGGATGTACCAAAATTCAAGACAGGTCCAAAACCCAAGCTTATACCTCGAGATTGAAGACAAATCATCAAGGTTTGCTCCACAAAACAAACATCAGTAAGAAAAATAAAACAAGAATTAGACTTATCTTGTAGCAGCACAACAGTGTGGTGAGTTTTAAATAAATCTCCAACGTTAAAATTCAGAAAAAAAGCTATAATGACACCACTTTCATTAAAGCACAAAAGTGACAGACTTGATTGGGCACAAAAACACATGACATAGTCCAAAGAATGGATTGAAGTTTTGTTCAGTGATGAAAAACAATTCATCTTAGATAGTCCAGACCGTTGAAAGTATTATTGGCACAATTTAAGAACTGAAAAACAAATATTTTCAAAACACCAAATGGGTGGAGGATCAATAATAGTGTGGGGTGCGTTTGGATTCAATGGAACCACAGATTTAGCATTTATAACTCAAAGAATGAATTCAGAGAAGTATTAAGGCATGCTTGAAGATCATTTATTGGAAGCTGGACCAAATTGGATCTTTCAACAAGACAATGCCCCTGTGCATGCCTTTAAATCAATAAAGATGTGGTTTAAACATAAAAATATTAATCTGATGACATGGCCTGCTAGAAGCCCTGACCCTGAATCTGATGAAAAATCTTTGGGGGATGATGGTTCGTACAGTTTATGCCAATGGAAAGCAGTTTTCCCACAATTCATGATTCGAAGGCAGCAATTTCAGATACTTGGGATAAACTTAAGATTGAATTCCTTCAGAATCTAATTGAAACAATGCCTAATCGAGTATTTAATGTAATTAAGTTAAATGGTGGTTACATTGGC